TTCACTCCATGCTTTTGCCAGCAAGCTGCAAGGCAAGACTTGTCAGCCGAAAGACAGTTGTGCGGAGACGTGGGGTATAGTTCACAAATGGGAGGTCCGCCTACGCAGTGTGTACGCGAAGCCTACGCGAGGCCTACGCGAGAAAACACGTATTTCATCGTATTTCCACCATCGCCGCTATTGGCAAGAACGGCTTTGCCACAGCAATTTCACGCACTATCTGCATCGTTTGTTTGCATGTGTGCAGTGTCGGGATCTTGTTCCTTGCTGGCCATTGTCCCTCTGAACTGAGCCTCTGTCCTAGCAAAACACCGAAACCATGAGACGCAACACATTTAAGGGGTGCCTACGCAAGGAACCTACGCGAAGACATTCCCCAACAATGCCTACGCGAGCCTACGCCCCAAAGTGAATTTTCTTACGCGAACAAACCACAGGACAACCTCCATATATATAATTCCTTTCATGTACTCAGCTCATGTGTGTGTTTGTGTTTTCAGGTCTCTATCCAAGTGGCCAACAGGAATGTTTAAAAGCTGCACCAAGTCCAAGTCTTATCCAAGCAGCACATGGAGAAATACGCTTGCCATGACCTTATTCCCAAGGCATATTAAAACTCCACCCACCCATTACAGTACATAATGGAACTCCATCCCCACAGAGTCCAGGTATCTCCTGAGGATGGTCTTGGAGGCGAAGGGGAATGGTCTTAGGGGCTAGGGGACATCCTCTGTATGATCCTGGGCCCGCAAACCCTCGCAAAGCTGCTCCCGTCCGCACGTGAGCTTGCTAGAGGTGTGGCAGGGTCTGGTAAGTGGAAGGTCATGTTTGCTTTTTGTTTGGCCCTTTGGGCATACAAGGCCACCACTTACATACTCTTGAAGCGAGAATGATGATGATGATGACGATGGTAATGATGATCCACTATCATAATGCAGGCTCATATAGGCGGCGCACAGTTTCTCCCAAAAATTCAACGATACGACTTGCGCTAGCGCCAAGTGGCAGAGCGTACATCTTGGCATTTGTCGAAAATCCGAGGGCAAACATCAGCAGAACGACCACAAAAAAATCAATCCACCCGAAGATGTAGCTTGACATATCTTCTTTCTTGACCTCGGGTCCAGGGTCCCTATTGAAAAAATACAAAACAACAACTACCCTGGAGTCACGATTGAGGATTTGATCGATACACTCCGCGAGGAAGGACGAAATCAAGCCCGGAAAAAAAAAGAAGTGAACATCTGTCCCTTGACTTGAATGCTGCTTCAATTGCGGTCCTTTCGGCCTCCCCCTCCAAGTTGGATGCTCTAGACTCTGGCGTTTCACTGCGGAGTGGTCGAGAACTACTGTAAGTTCTCAATTGGTCTTTCCGTTGATGGATGAGACATGCAAATGATTATGCAATTTAATGCAATCGTGTTGGCGGTTTGTTGATTCCCTTGCCACAAGACTTATGCAAAAGATCGTCGATACCTACTATACAGATTTGTCAGTTCCCAATATTCCCAAAGACCCATCATTTGCTTGGAAAACTTGACCTTTTCCAATCCTTTCCTGTTTTAGGCCATCTCCAAGTCACCCCCTCAGGATACAGTCCAAACATAAGCCAACAGTTGAGCACAGCAATGACAGTGCCGTAAAAGCCCGTCCAGGCAGAAAGCACGGTGCTGCCCAAGTCCAAATACAGGGTAAAAGCCAGAATGACTACGACCTTGGAAGCCATCGCTATTACGTTTGAGGCCATCGCCATCGCTATTACGTTGGAGGCCATCGCTATTAGGTTGGAGGCCATTACTGTGACTAGCTGCTGTGACTATGGCAACCGCCACAAAACTCCTGACTCACTGCCTTCGGCACCCCTGGATAATAAAGAATGTTCCCTGCAGAATGTTGGAGTGGGGACTCTTGCAACAAGCTGGTGCAGAAAAATGCCTTCCAAACGGACTTGACCTGAAGCACATCGCATCTACCGGGCTGGGCATCGCAGTTTAAGATCCTGGCGTAGCTCATTGACCATCCTTGATTTTGCCACCAGGACCTAAGGTTGGAAAACTGAGGAGGGTCTCCAAATAATCCTTGCTGAAAATACGATGTTGGCTCTCAAAGGCCAAAGGCCAGAAGGCAAACTTGGCAAAATTCATTCATGGCAAACAAATTGGTCACGTAACAAAAACGAAACAAACAAATCACCAAGACAATGCAAAACAAACAGAAATCAGTAGAACAGGGAAACTATATACACCCAGGAAAAGGTGAAGGCACATGATAAAATCACAAAAGACTCTAGTATGTCTGTGATGGATACTGACACTGAGATCCAGCTCAAATATGCACAACATGCGCAAAAGGCAATGGAGGTATCAAAAACCTTCTTTTCAGGAATGGTCTGCCTGCTAGGGCTCGGCTGGTTGTTACACTGGTTGTTGGGGTGGCCTCGTCTACAAGTGGCCACCCCCTATTGGCCAAAGCTCCCAAGCATGTCAACGTGTTTTCGAGTACATCTTACAGGATCCCGGATCCCTGTTAAAAGGGCTTCAATCACGGGGCTCACAGCCGGCTCACAGCACTACCTATATTATATCCAGGGCTGTGCTCAGTGGCAAGAAGTCAAAGACATACGCAGAAGCACAAAAGGTGGCCACCAATGCTCCCCGCAAGGCCAGGTCTGCATGGAATGCGAAAGCTTTGACCGTAGCGGAGCTCCTGGCAAGGTAGCACGCCACATGTTGCAACATGTTGGGTCAACGTGGTGGTTTGCCCAACTTCATCCTCTTAGTATCTTGTTCTTTTTTTTTCGCATCTTTCACATGTCTCTCTCAAGGGGGGCTTTGAGGTGGGCGGGGCAAGATGTATTTTTCCGTGTCGTGTGGTGAGGATAGGAGGTTCGTCAGGGCAAGTGCAAAGCACCATCTTAGACCAGACAATAATGAAGACATTTTCTAGCAGTCACTCCGACATTGACAGACATTTTGCTGTTCCATCAATCTGTTGTTATTTATTTTTTAACGGCGTCGGGTCCGGATAATGTCTTAACCATTCCATGCTGCTAATTTCATAATTACAAAAACTGGCCACTTTTCATGTTTGACGCTTCCTATGGTGTCCTGCTCACCAGAAGTGTAAAAAGGAATGCATGTTGCTTGCGAGGGCCTAATGGTCTAATGGTGTTAGAGGATGTTAGAGGCTACATAGCAGACCTTGGCAAAAGATCAATGCCAGAGCTTGTGAAGATGTCAATGAAGTCTTCGTCCAATAGGCGAGCCGAACTCAATGTCTTGGAGTTCATGAACTCCAAGGCAAGAATTCCATTAGCCCAAAACGAAAACACAATCTGCACAGTAAAACGCATGATTTGTATGCCGTTGGAATGTGGGTTTTGCGGGCAGCCCCCCCTTTACCCAACATGTTGATGTGACTCTGCTCATCAACATGACCCCACGATGAATTCCCCGTTTTGTCAAGTCCTCTCTTTTTTTTCACTCTTGAAGATGTTCTGCAGTAGTGGGTGGCCTTAAATATCTTGAACTGAGAGTTGAGTAAGCCACAGAGCCCGATGCACTTGCAACATCTCATTTCACTCATTTCCCTTCCGCCCTGCAGAACATCCACTATGGTCAGGACAGCCTACGTTCCTCGGTTTAAAAGGCACGGCCTACGTTCCGGAGCACACACCACATCCGGTGCCAAACCCACCGCCGTGCCTTGAAAACCATTCTTCGAGTGCAGCCGGAATTCACGAAGGGCTTAGCAATGGGGTCCGTTGGCAACTCCTGTGCACAGCCACTTCGCTCAGCTGCTTGGTACCCCAGCAGGGCGCTATGCACGACGCCTTTGCTCAACGACCGTATAAATTAAGGCAACTAGAGGGACATCAAGGTCGCGCCTGCAATGTTCATCCTGGAGCAAGCCAAGCATGCTAGGTTAACCAACCACCCTGAACTCGAAATTGTTGTCGCTCCGTCGGTTTACTGTACCTGTATCCCTTTCTGAAAACACCTAGTGTTTCCCTCTGTGCTTGTCCCCAAGGCCTCATCGATGTCACTATCTCGCATTTGCCTGCGCCGAGTGTTGATCTCGACTGTAAGGAAGGTCATCAGGAAGCATAGAACCATACCCCCAACCTGCAGCCCATCTACAAGTTGCTGCACAAAAGTGACAAAATTCTTGGAAGGTTTTGAGCCAGGGCAGCTTGGGGCAAAAGGTCGGGAGAGTATGGGAGGGTTGCTCAATGTTGCTCCTATCGTCCCTCAGTGCCATCTCAGATACTTTTGAGAACGTAAACATGCACACCTTGACCTTGTCCTTTCAGGGCCGTTCTGCCGGGCTGCTGAGGAGGCGAGGACAATCCAGAAATCTCTTGAGGCACCCAGAAATGTGGCGTTTCCTCATCTCGAAAACCAACACCGCACCAATCGCACACAGTGAATATGTCTGCATTCAACTAAGCCTAAGCCTCTACAACATGAAGCAACCCAAGCTTTGATCTAAATGATCTAAGTAACTAATACAATTTATTGAAAACATGTCAGTTGCATCAGGGAGCTTTCTCCAGGCAATACGGCACCAGCCAGCGCAAGAACACAGTAGTGTTTTCACAAAGAAGCATATTGACACGGAACGAAAGCTCCCAGCAACAACCTCCAAAATATCAAGGGTCTGTAAGAGTTGTAGCTCTCACCGGGGAGAAATGCTTACAGCAAAAAAACAAATATATATAATAAAAAAGACACACACACACACAAACTCCTGCATCCAGGACGCCTTGATAGTTTGATCGCGAGATCCGACCCAAATCATCGTGCAAGGAGACGCTCTGATTGTGATCCATTTAAAATTTTGGGATTTGGCCAGCTTTTCCGGCAAGCACGGCAGCTCTTGAGGCTTGAGCACTTGACGGAAGGGGAGAGCTTAGCTGGTCAGTGTTGTTTGGATGGCATATGGCATCAACTGCATCAAGCTTGTTTGCACACGGGTTAGTTACTAGTTGTTACTGGTTTGTCATATTATATATTGTCTCCAAGTCATCAATTCGATTTTGTGCCGAAGAAATGTTACAGGTTGTGCAAAGCTAAGGCAAGCTTTTTGAACCTCTCGAAGCACATGGCTATAGTGGCCATATCCTCCAGCTTCATCAAAAGCTTCTTTGCTTTCTCTCCTGCATCTCCAGCATTCTAGCGCACACAACAGGTATTTGTTGAAACCACCGGGCCTGACTCCCAATGACTGCCCATGAAACACTGTTCACCGTCACCGACTCGATGTAAGAGTTCAAAAAATACGTCGCAAAGAATGACCCCCAACCCCCAACCCCAACAGCTCATTTAGTTGTTTTTTTCCGACCAACAAAATTTAGAAGCAATGGCCTCCAACCTCCTAGCGATGGCCTCCAACCTAGAAGCACTTTGTCTAACCCCAGTCCACTGCGGCTCTTCTCACACAAGCTCACCATGCACTTGTACAGGAAGGAGTCTGCCTCCTTAGACTCGCACCCTGCATGTAACTAGGGTTTGCTTGAGACTCCAGTAGGAGGAGCCTAGGCAGGAGATCTCTCCCTCCCTCTCTCTCTCTATATGTCTATATCTGCCAGTGCATGAACAATAGTAATATTGATTGTAGTTATACATTTGGATTGTTGTCGCATATTGCTATTATGCGGCCCCAACTGGCCCCAACCCTCTGCCTGCCATCATTGCCCATGAGGTTCTGGCTTCATGTATGAATGCATCCTTCAGAAAACGTGAGACATGGAATCGCTTCCAATCGCTCATACTCTCCAAAGCTACAGGCCCCTCTTGCTCAGGAAATGGTCTTGGCAGCAGGCACCCGAAGTTTTCTAATATTGTCTGGTGAATTGATCAAAGTTTGCCACAGTTTCAACTGCCCGTAAACCAAAAGGATGCAGTTTGGGAGCCCTTGAGTCTGAGTAGTAGTGTTGTCAAGGGCAAATCCTCACCAAGATTGTCTATTTCCCTGCCTTGGTCCTTCCACCTCTCCCAAACAATCGGACGGTGAGCCGGTCTTGCTTTCCAAGTCTCCAGGCGCTCTCTTTGAAGCTCTCCAAACAGCTTCAATGCTTTCTGTGCCTGCAACCCTCGGTGGAGGGCCTCCAGTGCGGCGTCATAGCTGGCGATGGAGGGAGTGAGGGAGCTACCGCGAAGCTGTGAGAACCTCAGCCGCCGCGCGGGGTCCTCCGTCGTAGTCTGTCCAAGGTCGGACCCACGAGCCACGGTCATCAAAACTCATCAGCAAATGATGACGGCGTCGCAACGGCCCCAGCTGTAAAGAAGTTATGTTGGCATGCGGCATGCGGCGCATACAAAGCTCACAAAAGCTGCCAGGCTGCAGGGCCACAGCTGTTTGCCACTGGAAGGCTTTGGCGCACGCGCTGCAAGCAGCCGAAATGGCCACTAAAGAAGGGCCAAAGTCTTGTAGCATGGCCTCACACAACACTGCTAGTTGCTGCTGACTGCTCTGCTCGCAGATTCTTCATGAACTCCTTACTAGGCCCTACACAATTATTCATGCCACTGACACTTGAGATTTGCGGGCACTGAGAACAGCGCATCAAGGAGCTCGAGTGCATGTCGCCACTTGCCTTCCTCCTTCCGGCAGAGTTTGCTTTTGAATTTGAAGGAGCGGGAAAAGAGCACCATGCTGCCAAAAGTTAAAGCTACACATAAAGAACACACATATCACATGTCATAAACTAACGAACCTAATTATGGTAAGTGGCCTGCACCAGGAAATATATTTATATACGGACATATGATATGCTTAAAGGCGCGATCATTGAGACTTGCATCAAGGTGTGATCGAAAATATAGCCAGAACGTCTTTTGACTATGAGGGACACAGTGCATCACAGCATGCTGGGGCTGTCTGGACGGCGTATTCCGTGGTTCCAAAAGTCCTAAATGATCCAACGGCGACCACTGTGTTTAATTCACGCAGCTTCAAGAGCACGTGACTTGGGTCGCACATTGCGATACCATAACTTAGGTTTTAAATGAAAGGTAAGATGGTAAAGGTGTGTCTATGGATCTGCCTGGCAGGCGCTGATGGCTGCACTGTAGGAGATCACGTCTGCCATGTGGCGCGGTATCCCTTCTTGGAGCCTCGGCAAACAAGTGGATTTAGCTGAAGATCCATGAATCAACTGCATGGACGAACTGCGTGTGTGGCTGATGCTTAAACGACATCAAAGCTTACAATTGCGAGCATCGCAATGCGGGCAACAAAAGGCGTGATGGCTGTGATAACAGCGTCGAGTCAAACCCAAAGACAATCTTGTCGGACTTATGATGAAGGGGCAAAATGAAATGTGGCACACACATTTGAAGCTATCATATAACTTATAATATAGACTTGAGCACCAAGTCTTACACATGTTTGGCAAATTGATGTAACGTAGTAACATTGCAAATCCTGAGCATACAAGGTGTAATCCCAAATGAGCACACAACGACCTCGAATGAAACCGAGGGGGCATGAGCATCACTGAGTTGTGAGCCGACCGCACACTGCAGACATCTGCAGACTAAAAAGCTCAGACTATGCCACCAAGTGTTTCCAGGTACAGTTCGACACATCCACAATAGGCTTGTTAACCTAATACATGCGTCCTTGCTCCTAGTAGCGATGCCAGGAGCCCCTAGTAGCTTCTTGCTCCTAGTAGCGAACATTGCTCCTTCCAAAATGCCAACGCGCAGCAGTACCAATGCCATTTGCCATTGCCCTCGCTTCTCACCTGCACAGTCCAACGCTGAAAGCTGTGCTCCACTCGAGGACGAATTCTGGAATTCAGCCAGCCCTCTATTATGAGAGTGTGCAGAAGACTCCTAGGTTTCTCAACCAGTTTTCCAACATAGCTTGTGTTGTTTCCTCTGCCATCCAAGGGCATGCGCTGATGGCAGCATTGTAGGCAATCTCGTTGGCTTTCACAGTCAAGTCTTCCAAACTGGAAAGCAGCAGTAGCGCATGTTCCCATTCACCACCTGCACCAAAGAAAGGTGGCATGCTGAGCAGGTACTCAAAAGAACGAGGTCATGCAGGTACATAACTTGACTTGTGCAAACGTACCTGTACTTGAATCACAAGTTCTATCCGACTGCCCAAGCCCCACTCCCTCTCTCTCCAGGGTCTCATGTTGCTCATGCTGACACAAAGTTCTCGAATCTGTTCAAGCTCTTCGTTCACTCCAGTACCAGAACGCCAGGTATGGGAGGAACATGGTCAAAGCATCAGCTGTCAAGCCCAACAAAACAACTGCATTACCGTGCATGACTGTTTCAAAAAACCCCCAAATGCATCACCCGTGCCTTTTTCAAAAGCACTAATCAAAGCTCCGACTGAAATGATGTTGGGCCGCAGCGTCTCTGTCGATAGCTCTTCGAAGAAATGACAGGCAAGTTGCCACCTGGTTCACTAAACTGTTCACAAGCGGATTCCGCCCTCCAAATATGTTTGGTCTGACAAGCAGCCCTGATCCACACTGCACTGTATACCATTTGCCAAGGGGCTGCGACTTAATTTTGGATTTTTATGTTTCGTTTTTTTTTGGGGGGGTGTTTCGTGGCAGGTGCAGTACTTTGTGGACCTTGCAAAGCACATTTCGTGGCAGGTGCAGGACTTTGTGGATGTGGAAGTGCAGAGTTGGTGGCAGGTGCAGGACTTTTTGTGGGCCTTGAAGTGCAGATTTCGTGGCAGGCGCAGGACTTTTTGTGGGCCTTGAAGTGCAGATTTCGTGGCAGGTGTAGTACTTTGTGGCCCTTGGAGTGCAGATTTCGTGGCAGGCGCAGGACTTTGTGGACCTTGAAGTGCAGATTTCGTGGCAGATGCAGGACTTTGTGGATGTGTAGAGTTGGTTAGAAAGTTTTGCACCGGGGAGTTCACCTTAAATATTGATTTCGTGGCAGGCGCGGGTGTCGGGGATGAAGTGCAGATTTCGTGGCGCGGGGGGG